AGCTCAACCTTGTTATTCATAATCTGCCAGAATCAGAGGGCCAGTCATATGCAGTCAGGGCAGAAGAGGATGGAATGAAGTTTAGAACCATGGTCAAGGAGGGTCTTAAGCTCATGGTCAAAACTACAAAGAACTTCCGAGTTGGCAAGAAAGTGGAGAACAAGCCGAGGCTTCTAGTTGTCACTCTCATCAATATGGAGGACAAAATGGAGATCCTCAGGTCAGCAGCATCCCTGCGGGACACCACTTGGAACAGGGTGTACATCACCCCTGACCTTACCTGGCAGGAGAGAGAGAAGGGCAGGCAGTTGAGGAGTGAGCTAGCTCGACGGAAGGAAGCAGGCGAAGTGAACATTGGAATAAGACATGGCAAGATAGTCCCTATCGCTGCCGCTGTCCCTAAGAGGCCTCAAACCCAAAGAACACAGCACGCTCAAACTCAGCACCAGCAACAGGACATCACTATCACAGCAAGCCAGGAGATCAATGCTTTGACAAATGGCAGTGCTGGCACGCCAGTCACCCCAAACGGACAAGCTGGGCCCAATAGGTCAAACGAATGGGAGAATGATGGCCTTGGGGCGCCCAGACAATCAGAACAGGGTGGGGCTGCTGCGGCCCCAGACCCAACCCCTCAGCAGTGACTAGATGGGGCTAGAGAAGTTGGAGAACCTGAGAGGGAACCGGCTTCAGCCAACAAGAGGAAGCAGCTAAAAGTGATCTACACCAACATAGACCAGTTTGTTAACAAAAGAGACGATCTTTGTATGATGGTTGCGACTGTGGAACCAGATGTGATTCTCCTGGCTGAGGTGATCCCCAAAGCTCAGCTCAAGCCTATTGGGCAAGCACTGCTAGCCATCCCATACTACACAATGTACCTAAACTTCGACCCAGAGGTCTGCAACCTCGGCAGAGAAGGGCGACGGGGCATTGCCATCTTTGTCAAACCAGAACTGAGAGCAACAGAGGTGTCCTTCCCCAATTGCCCACTGGTCGAACACCTATGGATAAAAATACCTCTCCGAAGCCCTGACCAGTTGCTTTTGGGATGCATATACCGAAGTCCCTCAGTCAATGGTTATTTATCCTCTAACAGCCTAATCGACACTTTGAAAATCAGCACGTCATCAAATTTTTCGCATGTTCTGGTCGCAGGCGACATCAACATGCCTCAGATTGACTGGGATACAAACTTCTCACATGCTCCGGACCATCATTTCACCCACGAGTTTATTGAGGGTATACAAGAATGTGGGCTGTTCCAGCAGGTCACGAAACCCACCAGATATCGAACAGGCGAGAACCCCAGCACATTGGATGTCATCCTTTCTAATGAAGAGGGGCTGATAAAAAATCTAACTTTTCTCCCTCCAGTGGGAAACAGCGACCACGTTGTGCTGAAATTTGATGTCACCTGCTATGTACAGAGGGTGGAACCATCGTCAGTTCGCCTAAACTACAACAAGGGCAACTACCAACAACTGAATGAATTGATCCGTAGTACAGTTTGGGAGACTGTAGACCCTGCGGACCCTCAGCGACGATTCGAGGTCTTCAAGACCACGCTAAATCGTCTCATGTTGAGATGCATCCCAAGGGCATGCCCAACGAGGAAACGTCATAACCTCTACTTGAACAGAGAAGCACTTCGTCTAAAGAACAGAAAAAGGAAGTTATGGAACATATACATACACTCACGAGACGATATCAGCTTCTCCCGGTACAGTCGCTGCAAAAACGACCTGAGACGTCTTACTCGCAACCTCCGCCGGAACTACGAGCAAAAACTCGTCACCAACCTCAGAAACAACCCAAAGGCGTTTTGGTATTATGCTGGGTCAAGGCTAAAGTCGCGCACTGGTGTTGAAGACTTACGCGCAGAGGGTGGCAACCTGACCTCCAATGACCAGGAGAAGGCTGGAGTATTGAACCGCTTTTTCTGCTCAGTCTGCATGCACGAAGGCTCTGAAGACGTGCCAGCCCTCGCGAGCCTTTATGAAGGGCCCACAGTCGACGACGTAGACATCCATGTAGCTCTCGTCAGGAACAAGCTGGCCCAGCTGAAACCCTCCTCTGCGGCGGGCCCAGACGAGATCCACCCCCGGGTTCTCCACGAGACAGCCGACACCATCTCTCCACACCTCGCCACCATCTTCAGGGAATCTCTGGATACGGGGGCTCTCCCGCTTGACTGGAAGCTTGCAAATGTAGTACCAATATACAAGAAGGGCCAGAAGGACGACCCAGGAAACTACAGGCCAGTGAGCTTAACTTCCGTGCCTTGTAAGGTCCTAGAATCCATAATCAGGGACCAACTAATGGCACATCTGCAGTCCGAGAACCTTCTCAGCGACGCCCAACACGGCTTCAGGCCTGGAAGATCGTGCACCACACAACTGCTCCAAACAATCGAAGAGTGGAGTGGTTGGATCGAGAAAGGCGAACCGGTGGACGTCCTCTACTTAGATCTAGCCAAGGCGTTTAACACAGTCCCGCACAGGAGACTCATCGAGAAGGTCAAGGCCCATGGGATAGGAGGAAAGCTGCTTCGCTGGATTGAAGCCTTTCTCTCAGAACGCCAGCAGCGGGTCACGGTTGAGGGCTGTCGATCGGGTTGGGCACCGGTACCTAGCGGAGTCCCACAAGGCTCAGTGTTGGCCCCCCTTCTGTTCATACTGTTTATCAACGACCTCCCAAGAGTGCTTCACTGCGGAGTCAAGATATTCGCGGATGACGGCAAGCTGTACCGTTCGGTCCTCACCCCATCCGGCCCTCTAGCCCTTCAGAGAGACCTGGACGCCGCATCGGACTGGGCGGATGTATGGAAGCTCGAGTTTAATGCAGAAAAGTGCAGAGTCCTCCACATTGGTCGCCAGAACTCCCAGCAAGTCTACCAGCTGAAGGGCGCTCGAATGGAACAGGTGGCGGCAGAGAAGGATCTGGGAGTCTACATAGATACGGAGTTGAAGTTCCGACAACAAGCTGCCGCGGCTGTCAGCAAAGCCTCGCGGATACTTTCCATGATTCAGAGGTCTTTCCAGCTGATTGACAAGTCAACGTTGCCCCTACTGTTCAAGACCCTAGTCCGACCCCACCTTGAATACGGGAACATTGTCTGGGGCCCTTTCAACCGGACAGACCAGAAACGAGTGGAGCGCGTCCAGCGGAGGGCAACCAAGAAGGTCTCGGAGCTGCGCCACCTGCCCTACACTGAGAGACTGCAGGCGTTGAAACTACCATCCCTGTACTACCGTCGAAGGCGCGGTGACATGATAGCGGTATATCAGATGCTACATGGAGGTATTGACCTGGACTCGCGTGTCTTCTTCGACCGCTCAACCGCCCGTGAAACCAGAGGTCACTCGTGGCGCCTCGTGAAGCCGCGCGCGGTCTCCAGAGTCCGCCGAAACGCCTTCTCAGTAAGGGTTATAAACGATTGGAATAGTCTGCCGCCAGAAGTTGTCGACGCCGGTACGCTCAACCAGTTCAAGACCCGCCTAGACACCCACTGGGCAGACTTCGTACACGCGATACCTTACACAGACCAGTAAAACCCACACTAAGCAGCTCGACTGGAACGGACATAAAGGCCAAGTGGCCTATCAAAATTCTGTACTTCTAAGTAAGTAAGTAAGTAAGTAAGTCACAAGACGCAACGCTCCTATTCTTTTATGCTTTCATTGTCCTCCACATATCAACCAGCTTGATACCAGGCTGTGCAATAGTGTGTACATAACCCCATGTTGCCATTTTATTAGAGCAAGTGGGGTTACAACAACAATGCTAATGTCAAACCCACATCTGCAACCCGTACTGCAGTTTCAATCACCTTACAAGCACACCTTCTGGCAGTTTGATAGGCAGAATGGTCATTACTACTTTCCCTTCATATTCAACACATATTCCCTTTATACAGATACAGTTTAGACCTGGTTATGGCAAGCACTTTCGAGAAAAGATATGGATTTAAGTCCAAGACAAAGGTCGAGAAAAACAACACCAACATAAAACACCGACTAAGTAGCACTAATACTGTCAAATTCATAAAAATATATACCAGTGCTGCCAGATGGGGAAGGCTGTAATCCTCCAGATCAGTTACAAAAATCCTCCAGATTCCTCCAAATCCTATTGGTAGATATAGAAAGGCGGTCTTGGACGCTGCGGGGGGCTATACCCCCAAAAAAGTTTCACCAAATTCTAAAAACTCATCGGATTTCGAATCCTTTCGCACTGCTGTGCAGTTTAAAAGATATCTTTTCTTGTAAAAGCTGTTTAGTTTTCGTTTTATAAAAAAAAACGAAAATTTTCGTCGATTTCGGGCGCTGCAGGGGGGCCGGGGGCATTTGCACCAAATGTCCCTTAGATCGCCAGTAGTTTGGTACCCTCGACCCTCGTAGATATAGCTACAGACTGAGACATTCTGCAGTCTCACGGTGATAAAGGACGTGATATATCCTAACGGGTAGGGTGACGCTGGGCAGGAAAATGCCTTTTTAGTATTGAATGTGTTATATTTTTCCATGAAATTGAATATAATAATCGGGCGACAAATCCTCCAGATTTTCCTCCAGAATCAAAAATCCTCCAAAAGCGAAATTTGTCCGCAAATAGAGTTCAAAATCCTCCAGATTTGCGGAAATCCTCCAAATCTGGCAGCACTGATATATACATGAGTCGATCAGAAATTCACTGTAGATTTCGAAAATGGTGTCAAATGCCACTCAAATACCCCCATTCGCATGTACGAAGCAATAAAACACTGACCTTCAATTCCGCGTGCCATTCTCCATAGGCCACTGTGTATTAAATAACGCGTTCACTGATAGCAAAAAATGAGACCCACATATGACGCGTTTGCTACCAGCCAATCAGCGCTCGAGTTACCGAGCGCTGATTGGTGGAGAGGGCCGTCGTCAGCAGCTAGTTACACGTTGTTTTCCTTGAACATGTGCGTGAGCGCTGATGCTGCTCACGGGCTGTTGCCATTTTTCGTAATGCTGAAGGCACGGGAGCGAACCCCCCTGTATAAACCGATCATCGTGATTTTACTTTATTATTTTTTAAAATAATCATTTATTTCCGTTTATATCAGTTTTCTTGTTATTTGGAGTGGATTCAGACTAGAAAATGCTAGAAAATAAGGTAGAGGGAGGGGTATTAGAAGAGCAGACAGAGTTCAGTGAGCAGACGTCACACGAAAGTTTTGGTTTTCCAACCAAGGAGAGGCGCCATAAAACCTAAACAAACCTAAGTACCTGACCTAACCTAACCTACAACCTACAAACCTACAACCTACAAACCTACAACCTACAAATCTACAACCTCAACCTACGAACCTACAACTTGCAAACCTACCCTACAACCTGCAAACCTACAGCACCTCTCCTCGGCTGGAAAACCTTTGTGTGATGTCTGCTCTACTTATGTCGAGGTAGGCACCTAACCTAAATGTAAAGGACTGTTGGTAACTCTAGTCTATTATCACAGCTTTTTCTGCAGACTTGCTTTTTACAATAATTAGCTGATACAAGGCTTGAAATCTTCAATCTGCCTGATAAGAATCAACTGGATTGAACATCATCAGTGATTGGAGTCCTTATGAGGAACCAAAGGCATAATTGTTTCTGTAGTAACTGACACTGAAGCTATGGCTCGCCATACTCTGGTGCCAGGCAGCGGAAGACTGGGTCCTGTGGGGCGGCCACCACGTCGGCGGCGCTACCCATGTCTGCGTGGTGCTGGGCCACAGCTGGAGTCGCTTCCCAGATTGCTGGAGCTTTTGCCACCTGAATACAGCTACCATGTCTGTAGCTATGAGCAGCTGACTAGCGGCTTTTCTACCACACTACGTGTCAACTTTAGCTCGGAGCGCGGGGCACGTGAGTGGCTGGCTGCCTTCCAGCAGAGTAGCCTGACAACATACCGCAGTCGACGCACGTTCCCCAGGCCAGGGGCACAACTCATCTACAAGGCATGGTTCCGCTGCCAGCGCAACGTGCCAGGCGCTGCGGTGGCGGCCAGTGGCCCGGACGGTCGGCACACGGCCTGTCCGGCGGCGCTAGCTATCAGCGTATGCAGTGCACAGGTGAGCCAGCGTACTGACCCCCACCTGCCCGCCTCGCCCGGCTGCGTGCGGCTCCGACACGTACACAACCACCCGGTGCGGTGCGCGGCCGACCTGCGCTTCCGTGGCGTGTCGACTGCGGCCCGCGACGCCCTGGAGGCTCTACTGGCGCGCGGCTACGCACCGTCGGCCGCGCGGCGCGCGCTCCAGCACCAGCTGCAGCTGCACCTGGGCGAGTGCTACCCGCTGGCGGCGGCCGACCGCGCCGTGCTTCCCACGCTAAAGGACGTGTGCCGAATATACTACCAGCGATACGGCACGCCGGCGCAGCGCCGCGCCACCGCGCAGCGCTCCGTGGCGCTGGAACAGAGCGGGGACGCGTCGGGAGCGACAGTTGAGGACGAAGTTGCCGATAACCCTGATAAAGCGTCGGGCGGCCGCAAGAGCGTGATGCGAGATGAGAGAGGCGTCATAGAACCTGCCACGACTTGTGAAAGCACCGACGCCGCGCGGCTGCAAGTGGAGCTTGTTGACGGTGATATTCTAACGTTTGACTCATTGGGTACCGATAGTGAGTATTCCGTGTTGGAGCAGGAAGGTTCAGCATCCAGGATGGACTCGGAAGACCAGGTGCTCGAGTCTGGTGGTGAGAGTATCACTGTGGACCGTTTGGAGGATGCTGAGCTCGTGGTTGAACGCTCGGCCGATCTGATTCTGGGCTCTACCGATGACACCACGCTAGAGTTGGAGCTGGTCCGCTCAGAGAGTCCCGCAGCACGACGAACCGATCATCAGACGCTGAATCCTGAGGGCGCAGACCCGGGCGCCGAGGAGCTGCCGAGCCTGGAGAGTCTGCTGGCCGGCAGCATGGTGCCGGACCCCGGCGCCATCTCCGCCCGCCTGCGGGAACTGGTGACCGAGTACGGCACGAAAATGGCTACCGGCGGCGGGGCGGCCGCGTTCGCCCGTCTGGATGGGTACGGGTTCGCGGCGGCGCTGACCACGCCGCTGATGCGGCGCGTGCACCTGCACCTACCGCAGAGCGGCGAGCTGGTGTTTGTCGACTCGCCGGGCCGGTCGGAGCGGCACGGCTGCTGCCTGTGGCTGCTGGTGTGCGCCAGTGAGGCGGGCGCGCTGCCGCTCGGCCTGCTGCTCGCCTCCTCCGAGTCTGGCGGCGCGCTGCGCGCCGCACTCCAGTTGTGGCTGCGCACGCTGCCGCCGGGGGCGTTCGCGGGCCGCGGCGCCGACGGGCCGCAGGTGGTGATCACGGACGACGGCGCCGGCCAGCGAGCGGCGCTGGCGGCCCGCTTCCCGGCGGCGCTGGCGGTGCTCTGCTCGTTCCGGCTGCTGCAGGCCGTGTGGCGCTGGCTGTGGCAGGTGCGCGGCCGGGTGTCGGCAGAGGACCGCGCCCGACTGCTGCTGCTCACCCGGCGTCTGCTGTGCGCCGGCTCAGTCGCTCAGCTGGAGCGCCGCTTCCGAGAGGCGTCTGCCGACCCGATCATGGCGCGCCACGCAGACTTCCTGAAGCAGTTCACGTCGATCTACCGGCACCGGCACCTGTGGGCCGTTTGGTATGGCGAGGAGGAGGCCTCTGACGCCGATGGCCGGGCGGCCGCGCGCACCGCCAGTCTGTTCGATCTGGCCGCCAGCCTGCTTCGCGACCGACTGCTCTTCATGGCCGCGGAGTATGGACCCGCCGAGGCGTTTGATTTCTGGACGCGCCACGGGGATGCGTACTTCGTAGAGCGGATCAGCCGAGCGCTGTCCGGCGGCGGCCCGCCCTCTGGCCACGCTCGCTACGTTCCGCCGCCGCCGGGGTCGGAGCTGCGCGCGCGCCGCGCTGGGCCGCACAGCCACGAGGTGACCGACGGCGAGGCGGTGTTCCAGCTGGACCTGGAGCTGGGCTGCTGCACGTGCCGGCCGGGCCGCAGCGGCGCGCCGTGCGCGCACCAGTCGGCGGCCGCGCGGCTCGAGCGGCGCCCGCCGGTGGCGCCGGTGGCCGCCGAGGCGGCGGCGGTTCTCCGTCAGCTGGCGACTGATATGCCGCTGCTGGAGCCGGGCCCGGCGCCGCTGCCGGCCGGCTGGCTGCAGGCGGTCACCGCCGCCGCCGGCCTGCCCAGCGTGGAGGTGATCGTGTCCACCGAGCAGCCGCCCGACCTCCAGCCGCGCTCACCGGCGGATGAACGGACGACGGACTGGGAACAGCGCGACACCGAGGGAGGTCTGCTCGCAGCCGACACCGGCTCACTGCAGATGGAAGGTGGGGGTGTGACAGACAGTGCGGACAGTGGGGAGTGTCAGCGGAATCCCACGATAACCGACATCGATAACAGTATGGAGGACAGTTCTGCTCAGACAGCGGTCTCCGCGGGACTGAGTGAGGACACGGCCGGTGCCGGTGCCGACTCGCCAGTGGATCCCGCCGAGGAGGCGATGAGTGCGGCCATCGTGGCGCTGCAGGAGGTGACCGCTGACCTGACGGGTCGGCTGGCCGCCGATCCGGAGCGCTACGTGCCGCTGGTCAGGGACCTGGTGTCCCGCTACTGGCGGCTCGAGGGCGCCGACGGTCTGCGCTCAGTCACTGACCGGCTGACCGGGCTCGGCGGAGACCCGGGCGGACCGGCGCCGGGGGACGCGTGACGACGTAACGGCGGCTGTGGGCGACGAGTGCCAACAGGTCAGTCCAAGGGGGGGGGGACTGTGCTGGTTTAGAGGTGTAGTGTGCAATCAAGGTCAGGTGATGTTTAAGCATTGGGCAATTTTTGTGTGAAGTATTGTAGCAGTGATAAAATCGATTGGAAGCAAGATTGAAAGCAGTTTGAAAGTGTGTTGCCCATGGTTGTCATCTGTGATTTCGGATCATTCAATACGCGCTGAGCATTTACTCTGTGTGCAATACTTTGTAGTGTTCCATAGTTTTGTTATGTTGATGGCTTTTAATGGCTGTGATGTATGTGCGATGCAACCTTTGATCGTGTCAACATGATTTGAAACGGTTGAACTATAACCTTCATGTTTGAGGCCAATCTTGCTTAATAAATTACATATAATACAAATATGAGGCATATCGGTGGCCACATTTATAGTGGACGTCGGTGTATGGAGATAGGTTTGCGTACACAAGCAAGGGGTAAAAAGGGTGTCCTCGCGAATCCTCCCTCCCCGCCACGGCACGGGGCGGCGTGCTTACATCAGAGCCAATCTGCCACCGCATGACTTCAGAGCAGGGTCTTCAATCTTCCTGAACCACGGTTATTGCACAGTCGTAGGAGTAATCGGGGTGTTGTTACCCGATGGCTTATTGCACTCTGGCGTTTGCTAAGTTACCTATCAGCCTCCGTTATATTGCGGTCACTGCGATAGCGCGGTTTTATTGACTAGTGTCACGCTGCGGCTCGATAGAAGTAATCTTGCCGTCGACTGTGGTGTGTAGTGGCACCACTGCACCAAGAGTGAGCAGGATTTGTGTTTGTTAGCTTAACAGTCATTCCAGAGTTTGCAAACGTATTCGATACCTACCTACCAAGAGGCATCAAAGCTTTATTTCTTCAACTCATTGTTGCTCGATCTGCTTTGGAAAGTTGGTTCAGTAGATGCATTGTTATCATGAAGTCACGTACCAAGCGCTGTTGATCATAAAGCCTTTCATTATCATCTCTCAGAAAACTTTTCTCGGTCATCCCATGGGTGATGGGTGTTTATCAATTGCCTCATTTCACTCAACCCAGCGATAAGGCCAGTTATCTTTCATCTTAATTCAGAACCCTACAAAACATCTAAACAGCGAAAATGTGCCAATTAGAAACCTGCAGCGGTTATTAGAAAAGTCGGCCACCCACCGGCCGGCGCTCTGACTGACCGGACCGACCCGGGCCCCGGGCGGGGTGAAAAGGGTGCCGGCACACGGAGCGTGTCACAGGGGCGGCCCCGCTGCCCCGCCTGCCCGCACTGCGCCGTCCAATTTCGTCCGGCGCCGGCGCTGTTTTGCCTGTCGCCGTCTCGGAGCGGCACGCGACTCGGCACGGTGGGCTAGTTGGCCCGACTGCGGCGCCTACAAGTTGTTTAGAGGCGGGTTATTTAGGCGCTCGGATGACGGCAGCTGCGGTCAGTACCAGGGGATAAGCTGATTTGGTCGGTGACGCTCCGGTGGTGAGCTCATCTTGTGGCTCATATCAGGGACGTTCTACTGCAGTAGTGCGAATTGTTTTACTTATCATCATAGCACGGCGCTAATAGAAAGGCAGCGGACTTGAACTGTGCCATCGTCGGCTGTTATAGACTTTGTAAGGAGTCTCCTGTCAACTGCCAACTCTGTGCAGCCGTTCTACTCCTCGCTCGCCACCATCCCTTACCCTCTGCCGGTCCGTCCCGCCCTCTCGCCGCTTCCCCCGCTGCCCTTCTCGCGTCTGTCGCCGCTCTCCGCCGCTGCCATGGTCGTGTGGCCGGCCCTGGCTGGGTACGCCGGCTGGCACCTGGCGCCGCTGCTCGCTCCGTCTCGCCTGAAGCTGCTCTCGACCGCTCTGGTGGCCAGCGGCTTCCTGCTGACGCTAGTGATCATCAACAGCTACCAGCTGGCCAACAAGAACACGCTGCTGCTGAGTCTGAAGGGGACGACCACCACGACCACGACGACTACCACAGCCAGCACGGTGGACAAGGTGCGTCCTCGGGGTGGGCGGGGGAGTGGGAGGGAGGGGCAGTCAGCCCATGGACCTCTGAACGGCTCAGTTTACCTATTGGTGGTTTTGCTTACCGTGTTAGGAATTAAGTAGCATGTGTACATAATTATTAACTTGGTGCCTATTTTGTCTTGAGCAGGTGTACGCCTGCGCATAAAATTATGTGCACCTACCTAAATATGTTCTATCGACATATATTAGTTATTTTTAGCGTTTTAATTAAACCGCTCACATCCCGTCTGTTCTCTCCGGCAGCGGACGGCGCTGTGTTTCGCCGACCAGTTTAACGGCGCCCAGGCCAACCCGTACCTGGTGCTGACGCAGACGGACGGCGAGGCGGTGGTGGTGCGCGGCGTGGGGGTCGGAGCGCTGGTCACCGGCGCCGCCGCGCTGCCGCTGCTGCTCAAACAGGGCGGGGACGTCAGCTGCTCGCTGGCCACCGTCGAGACGCTGGCCGCCGACGGAGCGTTCGACCTGTCGCAGGTCAGTGCGGGTCGCGGGACGACCAAAGTTCAGGGTATCGATAAGTAGAGTTTTTGTGTTTTTGTGGTAAATGTGTACTGCATATTGATTGCTTCTGTTTTATTTTGATGGCGTGCGTTGCGATTATTGATCAATTAATGCTTTTTAGCTTAAGATGGTTTAACATTTCAGTATAATTGTTTGAAAGCGTTCGGATAACAAATATACAGGGTGTCCCAGAAGTCTTGAAGCTTTTTTATTTTTGTCGTGTGACCTTGCTATGCCATTGATTAAGGCAAATGACGCCTCAAACGAAAGAGAATGAACTGAAGTTTTGTATTTTTATGCGTAGAGCACCACTTTAGTCAGGTGGCCCCCGTTGTGAGTCGCACAAGATTGAGCACGAGAGATCACGTTCTTCGCTGCCGCCAAAATCTCCCGGTTTGCGAAACACCGGTGTCGCCATGCCCGTTTCTGGTCAGCTTCAGAGCCTTATTTCATGAAGCGAGCCAGGAAACAGAGTATTGGATCTCGGAGAAAACATAAGCAACATAATGATTTACTGATCAGAAAGTCTCCTGACATGTTTGCACGCATCCTGCAAAAATAAGGCTCAGCTGCTTGAGCGCGCTAAGCAACAGCCCGTTGTAATCCTTTGATTCGTCGCATTATTATGGGGCTAAAACGAATATCAACCCGTCGCAAATATAACTATGTCGCTAATATTATGTCGCTCGCTTCAGGGAATAAGCCTCTGAAGCTGACAAGAAACGGGTATGGCGACACCGGTGTTTCGCAAACCGGGAGATCTTGGCGGCAGCGAAGAACGTGATCTCTCGTGCTCAATCTTGTGCGACTCACAACGGGGGCCACCTGACTAAAGTGGTGCTCTACGCATGAAAATACAAAATTTCAGTTCATTCTCTTTCGTTTGAGGCATGATTCGCCTTAATCGGTGGCATAGCAAGGTCACACGACAAAAATAAAAAAGCTTCAAGACTTCTGGGACACCCTGTACAAATATTTTGAAATGCTACACTTCCTCGAATTGCAAATTGCCTCTGTCGATTGCCACAGTAACCGTTTTTCTATAAAGCCCCACGCAAAGACGCTGACAGCGGCCCTCCCTCCATTTCAGACGGTGTACTCTGTGACTGTGCCGACGAGCTACTCCATCGGCGGCACGGGCACCGACATAGTCGGTATGAACCTGGCTCTAGACAGCCTGCCAAATGGGTGCTGCACCATCACCAGAATAGCCTAGCTAGCCTATCCTAGGGTATCGCTGTAGCATCGTTTAGTTTAGATGCACTGCCGTCTTTTTAGTTTGCTTTTTTGTTTGCATGAACTTTTCAGTGCTTTTGCATCTCTTATTTTGTTATTTGCTATTACTTTACTTACCTCTCCCCGTACCTACAGCTTGCCATGGCACGGATCACTGGAAAATTCAAAGCGGTGTTGTTATCGTGGCTCTGTCGTTCAGTCATGTGTTTCACGCGATGTCAGCTGGCGCGTCGGGTGGCCGGAACGACTGTGTGATTCGGCTGAAACCGTCCGGTTGGACCTGGAGACGTCTCTCAGAACGACATTCATTCCGGATCTGGAGCATCCGTCCCTGTCGTGTCAGGTCGGTGAAATCGTTAGAAATTGACGACAGAGAGTGTGCGGTTGCGACAGTGCAGAGGTCGCCAGGAATTAAACTGTTTTCGTTATTCGAGCCACCTGCAATAATGCGTTCGACTGGCGTATTCATTTGTCATGAAAAATTGCGTTCCATGTTCCTGCCACTTGAGACATACTCCAAGAAGTATGTAAAAATATATTTAAATAATCGTAGCACTCGTTGTTATAGAAAGGAGTGCCTAGTCGGCGACCAGAAACGAACATCATGGAGCGAGGATCATAGAAGGAAAAGTCATCGATAAGCGTCGGACATTAATATTGGTGTTATAATCGTATAAATACGGTAGCATATAGGAAGAATAACACCAGTTAACACCACAAGCCTGAACTCTGAAGCCACAACATTTGTACCGTCAATAAGCCGAATCCCTCATGCAAATCATTGTTAACCATCATGCTTTGCAACTGTTCACGGTTATCGTCAGTTGCATAAGGCTCAAATATTTTTATCCTTAGAAACATATCACCGTATGTTGGCAGAGCTGTCTCAGTCTCTGCTTATCAAATATGAAGTGTCTCAGGATTTGCGACTCGGCATGAAACATACAACATAAGAAGCATGCAACATGCGAACATCCGTGTCACAAAGTTGACTGTCAAATTATATGACATCACGTTCTACTATCCAACGCAACAAACTACCGCACACACCTTATGTCCTAGCGTCGTATTCTTATTCGTATTCAACACACCTTGCTTTTGGCCACTTAAACACAGAAAAGAGAACAGAGGTAGCACCAGAACACAAAAACACAGAACAACACATGGCGCTGGAGCACCAAATAGCACCATGAAGCAAAGCCCACGCCCACACTTTGCTCCCAGTTCCGGCACATGTGACTGACAGTTCGGAGACCACATGGGTGTCCCCAAGCACTGCAAATGAATGTATGTCGCTTCACTTTGTAGTCATAGTTTTCGTTCACCTCGCATCGTATCGCAGTAAAGTCACTCACTACCAGCTCGCGAGTTATGCGCTCACCGTCTCTCTTACGTTTCACCTCGCCGTTTGCGCTTCCTTTTGCTCTTTACTTCGCACTTACAGCCGCTCCTAATGCGGATATAGTCCAGCACCTTTGTACCGTTCACATTGTACACGGCGTACGAGTGTGAGTACTGCTGCACGCAGCGGTACCGGCGCCGGCGGCGGCGCTCCGCCAGCGAGTCCTCGTCGTCAGCACGCGCCCGGCACGAGCGCTCAAAGAACATCTGTCGGAACTTGTCGTCGGCGTACAGGATGCCCAGGCTGCCGTCACGGCGCGTGCCGGCGCGCGGGCTGGTGAGCTCCTCGCCGGCCGGACAGCAGACGGAGAAGCCGCCGCGCCGCGGGCTGTAGCGCCGCAGGGTGGCCAGACTGGCCTCCCGGTCGGCCTCTGGCGACTCGAGCTCGTCTGGCAGCGGCAGCGGCCCGTCAGAGGGCTCCGGGAGCCAGGTGTGCCGCGCGCTCCTCCGCCGGGGCGCCGGCCACCTGGTGGCACACAACCAACTGCGCTCAGTCAGGTGCTGAGGGTGCGCCGGGGTAAAGGTCGGTCCACACAGCACCCCGGGGCAGCGGCGCATTCGTACTTCCCACAGATTAGCAGCTTGGGTCATTGGGCGGCCGCCAGCCTCCGTGACGAAGCATTTGCAGAGTGTTACTGAGCAGTTTAGCAGGAAGGTGCGGACTCGTTCTATTTTTACCCGGCACTTGAGTTTGACTGGCCACGTCAGGTCGGCGCGGGGCTATATACACCCGGCGTTTTCCTGGGCTCACCTTCCATTGCTGATCTCTGGGAAGTCCGTCAGCTGAGGGTCGGAGGTGTCGATCGTGCCGTCCCAGTCGTCCGGGCTGGGCTGGTGCAGCCGGGCCGATCCCCACCGACCGCCGCTCCACAGTAGCGCGACCTGCAACCGGACAGACCGAAACACTCGGAACGAAGAGACGGTATCAAACCGACGGTCAATACCCTTCCTAATAAACTCATTTGCTTTTGTAGGGATGAGCGCAGACAAGTTGCTGCTCATTTTCTCCAAATTTTCCCTTGTCTTATTTGATCAGAACATTTCAAAGATTTTAGCGTCTTGAAAATGCATATTGTAAGTAAATGGAGGTGAGTTTATGCGTTATGCGTCTTCGATTGGTTTTCACTCACCACCACAAGAATCCCCAAGTCTCTAAACATAGTAAACTGGGCACTGGTATCCGCCTCTGGAAGCTCGCAGCCTTCCACAGCGAACTCTGGAAGAAAGAACAAGATAGTGAGCAGTTTTATACACTGAGACCGTGAAATCTTTTTTTTTTAACTCGAAGTATTTAACATGGTCAATCTCTACGACAGCCTGTGCACTAAAATTCTGCTTTCCTTGCATCGCTTGCATCGATCATAAGGCAGTGCCATTAGTGTATGTTGCATGTCCTTTTGTATTATGAATCTGGTTGCAGGGTCCGGCTGATGTCATGTGAAAGCCCGTCATGTTCACATATGATCCGACACTGTAGAACACACGCTATATAACCATAAAACAGATGTCATCTGCCAGCCCCGCCGGGGGGCTGTGATCACAGCCCTCGGCCGGCAGCGCGAGGGGACGTGGGGGACGGGACAGCGGTGCATCTCTGAGGTTACTTGGACTGGAGACATAGGGACCCGAGCATTCGTGCTTACCTGTACATGGTGGGTGGCCTGTGCAGATGGTCTCGATACCTCCTTGTCGGCTATCCGGGTAGCGTCACTGAAACTGTGAATTAATTGTGAATGAAAAGATCGGGAAATGTGCAATGGCATGCGCTGTCAGCAAACATCCATGCGATTCAATTATGGATGCCAATAATAGCGCCTACTAGCGATTTTTATAACACACACGGCTAATTGGCATCACATCGGTAGCATTTTCTGATACGTAAGGGAAGTTGGGGGAACGCCGAATACTTTTTTTCTGACGACCGTAGCACGCAAGGTAGGTAGACAACATAAGCTATTCTTGTTGGCGTCATTCGAGAGGCCAGTCTTTTGCCTTTCAAACATACCAGGCGCATTTGATGAATTCGCATACCGTTAAGCGCACAAACTAAAAATATCAAAGAAGTGACTTTTTCGGCGTTGCCCCAGACTGCGGGGAAAGCCGAAAATGGGAGAAATGATCTACGGGGAATGCCGACATTGATGTTTTGCCACTTTATCTCAAACTTTATCCAGAATTTATCAAAGCTGACACGCGTTTTAAGAGCTTGAGGACGCTTGGTGCACACTGGAAGTTATAATTGTGTGATATAATAAGAAAATGCCAGGTAAATAATTCCTTATAGGTAACAGGCCGTTGTGTCGGTTGAAAGTGTAATTTGTGTGACTAAAAATTCGCGTTGCTATTCTACAGCAGTAAAGTCCACGTAGCGTGCTTTAACGTGCGTAATTGCACGTTTTCGGCATTACCCCAGCCAGCCATACTTTCATTTGCAGGCCCATAACTTTTCAACGTGCCGTATAAATTTCAAATAGGCAGCACACTTATGCAAAGACATGCTGAAGATTACTTGACCGAATTGGCCAGACAAACGGTAGCATAATGAGTAAGAAATGCAGCTTCAAAGGCGCATGCCTACAAGGAACGCGTACCTTGAAAACGCTCTTGGCGCCCTCACAGCCGAAGTATTCCGAATGACGACTCGTAACAAACATGCGATAATTGTAGTCACTTAAGCTTCAGAGCATCACTGACAGGTGGCATCCATGTCTTACGGTTTTCGAAATATCTCGAATTTCGGCTTTGCCCCAACTCCGGCATTGCCCCAACTTCCCCTATCGTTAAATAATGCACAAAAAATAACTGATGTTCGCCTTGGATAACATTGCGATGTTTTACTTCTTTTCTTAGCCGTGGAATGCTTTTATTGAAACACATACGGGAACCTCTAGATCTGTTTTGACTGGCGCTTCTCATTTGACCTAATGTTTGTACAGCATGATGCAAGCAGGGGCGGATCCAAGGGGGGGGTCACATGGGTCATGGCCCCCCCCCCTTGAGGCCCGGGGGCCCAAAGACCTGCCAGGGGCACCACCGGCCTATCATGGGTATCACAGTCCTGACAGGGGCACCACAGGACCGCCAGGGGCACCACAGGCCTAGCAGGGACACCACGGGCCTGGTGCCCCTGGGCCCTGACAGGACTGTAACGCCCCTGACAAGCCTGAAGTGTCCCCGGTAGGCACGTGGTGCCCCTGACAGGCCTGAGGCGCCCCTGCAAGGGCGGTGGTGCCCCTGGCAGGCCTGTGGTGTCCATGGCAGGCCTGTGGTGCCCTTGCTAGGCCTCTGGTGCCCCTGACAGGCTTATAATGCCCCTGGAAGGACTGTGGTGCCCCTGGGCCCTGACAAGCCTGAGGTGCCCCTGACAGGCCAGTGGTGCCCTTGCTAGGCCTGTGGTGCCCCTGGCAGGCCTCTGGTGCCCCTGACAGGCTTGCGGTGCCCTTGGAAAGACTGTGGTGTCCCTGGGCCCTGACAAGCCTGAGGTGTCCCTGACAGGCCCGTGGTGCCCTTGTTAGGC